AACGAGAAAAACAAAAGTACTTTGGAAAAAATGCAATAAAGAAACAAGAAAGAAAAGAAAGAAAGAAAGGCTTCTCTTGCTAGTTCTATGACTACAAGCTGCATAGTACTTTATTGTCTCTTCTGTATTTGAAAAAATATCAATTAAATATTTTATTTTCACTCTCTACTATTTTTGTTCACTTCCAAGGCTAAAACTAGTAAATTCATGGTTATGTTTCACCCTTTAATTCACCTACGATTTTAGATCAGTTTATGAGTTTTACATATTTTTTCTTGGCCCATTTTTTTATTGATTGATGATAGGTCTTCTTGGGAGTTGTTGCAAGGAAAATATTTCTAAGTCTGACAAGGGTTGTTTTGATCAAATAAAACTTAATTTCTCCGATATATGGTTTCTCATCTATTTCTCATGCTTAATTTAATGGATTTTGAGAAAGATAATTGGGTTTTTTCCCCTTTTGGTGATTTTGTGCGGGCCTTTTTTAGCTAGGTTTTGAGCTGATTTTTCCTTTACATTGTATAGATCATAGTTTTAGAGTGGGTCCATGCTATTTTATGTGAGGTGTTAATTTATGTTAGCTTTCCTTTATGACTGAAAGATTAATCAAATTACTCGATACTTGAAATGAATTTAGTTTACTAAAAGTTCATTCGAACTTGGTTCACCAACTAGTCTAGTAAAACATAACAATTTTGCACCTGACACCTTTTCTATGACAAATTAGGTGAATAAGGAGAACTATATCTTTAAATCAATTTTTACTATATTTACGAATTTGCAACTTGTTTACTATTGCCTTGTCTTGCACATAATATCATATAAAATTCCAAATAATTCTAACCTAATTTCTTCAAATAAAATTCACAACTTGTAGAAGGACATCATATATATGATACATTTAGTATCTATTTAACCTAATATAGTCATCAATGTATGAGATTTTTGTAAGAGATTATATATAAGATGATATAAATACCACAACATAAAAAATTTTGTCAGGTGAATTGTCAAAATATGTGATTTAGACAACATTTAACATGTAAAATTGATGTCAATGTATATTATTAGTTCTCTGAATTGTACATATGTTGTACATGAAAAAAAAATTTCGTCAGTTTTAATGGATTATGCCATTTGTTTCATGGCTGACAAAATTATGTTACACAACAATTTCCCTCTTGGTGCAGCTATCTTGCCTATATTCTTTAGACATGGACAAAAATAATATTGTAGTGGAAGAAATTCCCCCACCCAAGTGTGGCACATGCTTGACACGTGTCAATGCATACATTTGACTATGGTTATATTCTTGTGAATATCACTGTTTTAGAGTGGGTTTTTCTTTTTTGTGTGAGGTGTTAATTTATGTCATTTGGACTTCATTTCTTACCTAGTTTCAATTATTTCTATTCATTTCTTGATTAGGATTGAATGATGAATCAAACTATTTGATACTCGAATCAAACTTGATTTAGCAAGAGTTTATTCGAACTTGATTCACCAATTAGTGAAGTCAAACTTGACAGTTTTGCACCTAACACTTTTTGTACGATGAATTAGGTGAATAAGGAGAACTAGTTATCTTTAAATTAGTTATTTACTATATTTACCGATTTGCAACTCTTTTACCATTACTTTGTCTTGTATATAATATCATATAAAATTTCAAATAATTCTATTCTAATTTCTTGAAAAAAAAAACCCACAACTTGTAGAAAGACATCATATATATGACACATACAATATCTGTTAACCTATTGTAGTCTTCGATGTATGAAAATATTTAAGACATTCTAGATAAGATGACATAAATGCCACAACATAAAAAATTCATTAGGCGAAGTGTCAAAATATGCAATTTAGAGAACATGTAACATGTCAAATTGATGCTTAGGTGGCGTTTGGTTCGTACATCGGAATCGGATTCGGATTCGGAATCGGATATCCTGAGTTTGGAATGAAGTCATTCATTCCAATACATTTGTTTGGTTCAAGTACCTGGAATGTGTATCATTACTATAGTTGATGTTTCGCTCATCGACTCTTTTGAAATAGAATATAATAAATATATTATAAACCACATCGTAAATGATAGTTATTGGCTCTTTGTAAATGGGATTTAAGAAATTTTCACTAATTAAATATATTAGTATAAATGTATTAGTAAATTTAGTCTAACTAATTAATAATTTCTATTAGTAAACATGTATAATTATTAGTATAATTGATAATATTAATTATATTACATAAATTAATATACATTATATAATACATATAACTAATAATATTATTGTTATAAGTTTGTAACTAATTAAATTAAATATTATATATATAATTAAATATAAATATATAATTATAATTATATAATATATACAAATATTAATTATACTACTATTTTATATAAATATAATATATATTACATATTAAATATAGTTATTATTATATATTATTATATTTAAAATTATAATTATAATTATAATTATATAACTTATTAATATTACATTCATTTATATATTATAATTATATGCACATATAATATACATTTATAAATATACATATATATTATAAATATATTATTATATAATATTAATAAATTTATAATATATATTATATAGGTATAATTATATTTAACTAAATAATTATAATATATAATTATATAATATAATAATATCATTATTATAATTTTGTAACTAATTAAATTAAATATTATATATATAATTAATTATAATTATACAAATGTTATAATATAAATATATAATTATAAATATATAATATATAAATATTAATTGTACTAATATTTTATATAAATATAATGCATATTAATATTAGATATAGTTATTATTATATATTAATATATTTAAAATAATAAATATAAATATAATTATAATTATATAATTTATTAATATTATATACATGTATATATTATAATTATATGAACATATAATATACATTTATAAATATGCATATGTTATAAATATATTATTATATAATATTAATAAATTTATATTATATAAATATAATTATATTTAACTAAATAATTATAATATATATTTATATAATATACTAATATTATAATAAAATATTATAATTGTAATATATTATATATGTATATATTATAATATAAATATATAATATATATAAATATTAATTATACTAAATATTATGTAATTATAAAATTTTGGAATCATACTTGGGTTTTGGACAAAACCCACCCTTTTACTAGGGAATGGAGAGATGCCAAATTTTTAGAAATCATTCCAAAATTTCAATTCCCATACCAGTGAACCAAACACCAGTTATGGAGTTTATTCCATTACTTCATTCCGATACCCTTTTACCAAACGCCCCCTTAGTGTATATTATCAGTTCTCTGAATTGGTCACACATATTTTATGATTTTTATATTGGTTTCCAATCTTTTTAAACACTCTACATAAAAAAAAAAATGCATTGCTTAACATTATTCCGATATGCAGCAAAAGATATTAAACACTAATATTTGTGACCGTGACTAATACCACAATAGCTAACCATTTGAATCGATCTCACCTTATGTGCGTCTAGTCAGTTTTCATTGCTTAGGTCATTTGTTTCATTTCATGGTTGACAAAATTATGTTTAGAACAAATTTCCTCCTGGTGCAACTGTTTTATTTGTTTCCTTTTGAACATGAAGAGAAATAAAAATGCCGTGGAAGGAATTTCTCCACCCAAGTCTTCAGGATCTCTTGTACAAATTAATTCAATTCATATAGAACTACCAATAACTCCAATGGAGGTTAGGCAGCCTGAAAATTGTGATGAGAACTTTGGAATGCAGTAAATAAATTTTTTTCGTCTATGTAACCACTACAACAAAAATGGCCTTTAACGGCATTTAAAAGTGTCAGTATAGATAATCTAACCTGACACTTTATCTATCCTCACACCTAGGGCGAGTGTTGTCCCTTCCAATGTGGGGATAGACTCATACTATTCAACATGTCAGGAAAACTATGCTGTTATAACATCTCATCTGCCAACAAAAATCCCTTTTCTTGATAATTGAAAGTGTCAGGATAGGTATAGTACAACATTAGAATATCGAATTCTATGCTGACACTTTTAACTGCCAGGAGTTTTTTTATCTTTTTTTTTTTGATATAGAAGCAACCTGCAGGTAGTGCTCCCTGCTATACATTCCGTCAATCAGAAACCCAAAGGACTTGTAAAATTATCCCAAAGAACAGAATGCATATAGTAATCTAAAAGCAAAAGTCAATACTCAAATATAATTTGTTGAACTAAAAGTAAGTAACAAGTACTAACATAACAAATCCCTAACAAATACAAACTTGAAAGATTCTCATGTGCACTAACTTAAAAGATTCTCTTGTGCACAAACTAAAATATTCTCATCCCTAGCAAGTAGAAAGAACTTGCAGTAGCTTCCAAACTTTCCAATGAAATGAGAGCCTTCAGTCATAACCTGATATCTTTTGTGAGCCATCATTATTCTGCAAAGAAAGACCAGAAATAAAAAAATAAATTAAAGATATCAGCACCTAGCAATTATGTTCTAATGTAAAGTAACGATACCAAACAGGATTCATTTCATTCGAAATAAAGTTGATTGCTGAATAGCCAAATTTTGGTACCAAGCAAGTTTGCAAAACTTAACTGGCAAAAGCAAAGGTGATAACGCAGGTTATATTTTCTTGTATATCAAAAGGTTTTGGAATAACACACTGATCCAGTTGCCATCATTGCACTGAAATTTCTACTTGCTATCACCAAACATACTACTAAAGCAGCAAACATACTAAATAAAGAAGAAGAATGACCAAAAAGATAGATGTCATGATTGAAATTACCCCCCTTTAGAAGACTAGAATTTATGAATCTAGATGTAATTTTATCCTTTGGCTTAGCAATGAATTCGAACGTTTGACATAACAATCTGGGGAGAAAATGTGAAAAAGCAATACCTCTTCTTTGAAGTTTAGATCATAAGTCTTGTCTTTACCATAAAACTCAGAAGCAGCCACATCCATCCCAATCACAACCTGCAGCAATTTCAAACTCTTCAAACTGATTTCAATACAGACTTGTTGAAATAAACCATACCACAGACAAGCACCCATCAAATAAGTTCAATTAGGATGTTCAAGAAAGCAATGGTGGACCCATGCCAGAAGTACCATTCATTTTTTAGGCAAATATCTCACTTCCATTCTCACTCACCATTTCCCTTTATTCCCCAACGTATTTAGCCAAAGAGGGGAAAATACCAAAAAACAAAAAAAAATCTTCAATTGAGTGTACAGATGAGTTTAATTGACAAGCTTATGTAGCTTAAAAAATTGGATAATATGAAAACTAGCAATAAATGAAGTCCACTAACCTCTAACCGAAAGGCACGTTCCTCATTGTTTCCCTTCTCTGTGCAACATCTTAATTGCAGCCACGGTGCCATCACTCAAAATCCCTCTATACACTACCCCATACCCTCCATTTCCTATCACATTTGCTGCACTAAATTTGTTTGTTGCAATCTCAAGCTCTGTGTAAGTAAAAACTTGTACACCCCTAAGCTTGGATGCAGCCTGCTTCCATACAAACATCCGCCTTTGACATCTGCTCCATTTTCACCAGCAAAACATATACCCATAGCATTCAAGAACAGTGTAACCAGTATAAACATCCATTCCAATACTTACTTTACCAGTGTAACCAGCTTTAGCAATAGCTGTTTTAAGCAATTCAAGACCTTCCTTGTTCTCCTGAAATGTCAAAGTCACAAAGTTGTAAAATATATGACAACCGAATTGAACAATGAACAGGAAGCATATTAGCAAAATGCCATGAACTAACCTGGATATTAGAGCAATGTCACCCTCATCACCAACATTTGTTGCATCTTGGCCATACTTCTTCTTAATTACAGACTGAAGAAAGAGATCAGCAATAAACAAGCATATGTCAAAGCAACAGAAACACATCAAATGCGCTCACAGATATCAAACATTAAAGTTGACCACTAAAAGCAAGCATATATACTCCAAAAAACATGACTTCTATTTTAAGTTCAAAATAGAAGTCATCTCTAAGAAATCCCCACAACCAGCTTGATATGATAAAAGGAAATCAATCAAACGAACAAGAAATGTAGGCCACTAACTCTCACTCCTCCTCAGCTATTTGCCCCTTCTCACTGACATAGATACCATCAAGGAACTTCCGGATATCTTTGTTCTTCACATGGCATTTTTGTCCACAATAAGAAAACGTTGTATATTAGCTATCCAGCCAGATGAACTACATTTTAAAGACAAGTGACAAGGAACAAAACTTGTAGATTCAAATGTCATAAATATGGCACAGAGTGACTCTTACTTGGTTTATCAGGGCAGCAGATCGGGAAACAAGCTCAATGTCATTGCTATCCAACACCAATTCATCCTTAACCTTCTCAGACCGGATAACAGTGACTTCTTCAAGCATATCCACCTTACTCACCCGATGCAGAAAACATCACACATTACAAAATGTTCCCTATCAGAAATTTCAAGCAATCTCAACATGCATAATGGGGGCAACCCAATGGAAGCAATTCCACAATACCTCTCAGAGTCTAACAATATTGGTCTAGTAGAAAGGTTCAACCATGACCCAGTCAATATTAATTAGCCTCAATAACACTGGTCTACAGATGTTGCAGCAGAAATCCTCGAAGAAAGAACAAGGCAGAAAAAAAAAGAAAAAAAAAGAAAAAAAAAACCAAAATATAGTATGTTTGGTAAAGGAAAGTAATTACTTCATTTAAAGTCAAACCATAATGACAATAGCATCTACTACCCATTTCTATGAATTAAAGACGCATATAGTATTACTAGCACTAAAACTATTACCACGGATCTCCAATGACTAGTGAGACAAACAAAATGATTCCAAACGCAGTACAATCACATAACAACCAAACAGGATACTAAAATTGACAATGTAATCAACAGGTAAGCAAACCAGATAAACAATTACCGAGCAAACCCAGATGAATTATCTAGCAACCTCACACAACCCAACCACGAAATGCCCAAGTTGGGGATCATTCTGGCCTTAGTTGGCTTAATTCTCAAATTGAAGGGTCAAAAGCATCTAACAATAAGCCTAGAAATGAACAGACACAAAGCACTGGTAGTCTGGCCCATAAACTCTGCTCAAATACACACTCAAACCAGAGGGAAAGAGGAAGAGCTCCTCCGCACAAGTCTAAGTCCTCTTACAGTATCAAGAAATTCTAATCAAATCAACAAAATTCACATGTGTGAAAATATAAAAGAAATCAGAAATAACAAATCTAAAGAGATAAGAAAAGACCCAAATATTCATCATGCTAGTAGAATAGTAGATACCTTCTTCTCACCAAGGAAGTTGCGGATCTCAATAGAACGGTTGGAGTTGGTGATGGAGGCGTTGATTGGGAAATGTGCATAGACGAATCTCATCTTGTAGCAGTAGCCCTTGGTAACGTCGGTGATGAGGTTCTCGACGTGGCTGAGGGCAGTTCGAATTGCGGCAGTGGTCTTGCAGGAGCCGAACCAAGTGTCGACCTTGAGCTTCCTCTTTCCGGTGACCTCATCGGTGATGAGTTGGAAGTCGAGGTTGAGATGCTTGAAGTTGCGAGTAAGCTTCCTGCGTGGTCCCTCCACCTCGATCTGCTTGGCTTTCATCTTAATCTTAACACCGCCAGGAATATCCATAGTCTCCAATGCTAGAATTGTCTTCATCTTGGACCATCGCTCACAGTAATTCCGCCTCTTCTTCTTTTTCGGAGAAGTGCAAAAGATTGGCAGCCAAAAAACCCTTACAAATCCATGAAGTTGAAAAGGGTGTTTTGGCCCGCCAAAATCAAACGATGCCGTTTTGTGTCTTTCTTTTTTTTTGGTACACCTCACATTTTCTCAAGTGTCATGTTAAGTAGTCTAAAGGCACATTATTATTTTTATATCTGATAAAATAAAAAAAATTAGGGTATATATTATTGAGTTGATAATAAGTGTCATGATAAGAGTGCTATAATGGCACAAACCAGCAAATGTTCTTATAAACATGTCAGGAAAGGCCATTTTTGTTGTAGTGAACAATTTGTATGACTTGCAAGAAATTTTTAAAATCGAGGGTTTTCATTCAAAGGACATGCTAAGCTTTGTTCGTGCATGGTAATTTGTTTCTATTTGTATTGATACATAAATAGTTGCTAATGATAGCTTTGTTAAACTTCATAGATATAACATGAGTGCCGCCATGATAACAACCACCACTAATGCATTAAGACTTGGTGAACCTTGCCTCCCACCAATTTGCCACAATTAAATGTGGCCTTAGTTAAAAAATCCAGGCGAGTGCGTAGTGCACCCGTCTGGTCCGGTGGTGGTTTAGTCCCCTCCGGATTACCCCAAGACCTCTTCAGGCCCTCACCCTCCCCATAGTATAGAAAACTATCGTATCGAAAAAAAAAAAGAGTGTTGATGATAACCATGACCTTCATCTTTCTAAGCCACAGCACAAACTAAAATCTTAGCCATTCACTATGAGTATCCAAATTGGACCTTAGACTCAGAACAGTGGCGGATCCAGAATTTTGCTTAAAAGAAGCACGGACTAGAAAAACAATAAAATACTAAAAAACTATGATGGCTAAATTAAGAATCTTAAAGCACTTCAGGGACCAGGCTCAGTAATGTGGGCATGTCACCCAAGTGGGGGCGTTAAGTGTATGGAATCAGTTGTCTGCAACCAAAATAACTCCACATTCCACTACGTAAAAACTTCACAGGTAGCTTTGTTCAATGTATCCTTTTCAGCCCTGAAACCAGGCTTTTGATGTTCCCCTTTGCTTCATCAGAACAACTACTCCAAACCAAAATCCTTTATAAATATATAAGGAAATGCGAAATTTAATAAATATGAGTGTGTACATCAATTTTAAAAACTATATGTACTATATCAATGCACATTAGGCATCAATTCAAATAAGAATTCTTATTAACATGTGAAAAGAGGATTTCAAAATAATAAGATTATATAGCGTTTCAAATAAGACTTCAATGCATCATATAAGATTTCATTAGGCATCAATCATGAGGATAGTCTGTCTTTACATAAAATAATTTTTTTGACAAATTGCATAAATCAATATTACATTTTCTCGTAAATTTATTGCTTATAATGCTTTACATTTCTTTGCCATCCGCTACTTATCTTTTTGCTATATTTAAATCTAATGCCTTCATAAAAATGTAAAAAAAAAATGAAAAAAAAAGGAATCTCTATGCCTTGTACAAAGTGAACCTCCTAGGTAAATGGAACGCTTAATTCTTAAATAGTTACAATTTAATGTTGAAAACTCAAAATAGGTGTGTGAAGCAATTTATCTATGGTTTAACTAGTTTTTTCTATGTTTATAGGCATGCCTTTTTGCATGTGAAAAACAACATTGGAATTTTGCCTTACATTAGCTTTGTTAAAACCTTTAATTGCATTAATTTGCCTTACATCTGTGCCATTGAATTTAGTGAAATTTCATTTCCCTTTTAGATTGTCTTCTAAACTCCTAACATTGCTCATATTCCCTTTTCTTTTTGCAACTATATATATGATGTCATAGACATAGATGCTGTTGGGTGTGGGCCAACCCATTTGTGGGCCAACCCACTTATGCAAAAGCTTGAGGGCTTCTCAAGCTTAAATAAAAAGCAAAAGCAGCCGCAAGAACAGATTCAAGCTTCGGTCCTCGTGCGAGAAAGAAAGGAAAAAAGGCCAGCTGCCACCTTTGAGTGAGACGAAGAGAGAGAAAGAGCTAGAGAGAGAGAGGCTTCAAGGTCTTGATTAGAGGGCGATTCGAAACCCGATTGAGACGAAATTTTACCCACGCGATCCTCTCGTCAAGCTTTCCTTATCTACCGATTCAGATTTCTGATTTTCTCTTCGTTTGGTAACACCTTTCCAAACTCACTTTTTTTGACAGTTATAGTTTTTGGGGGTAATTTTGTAGCAATTTGTTTGGTTGATATTGGTACTATTATTGTCGTCCGAATATTTCGAATAGACCTGTGTATTCCCATTATTGTGATAGTGAAGATTTTGACTGGACTAGGTCCCGTGATTTTTCCCAATTTGGGTTTTCCACGTAAGAATCTTGGTATCCTGTGCCTTTTAATTTTCTTGTATTTTATTATCACTGCTGGTATTATTACTTGGTGATTTGGTTTGTTCCTGTTTTTAACTGGTACTTGGGGAAAGAGAAATTTGTCCTGGGCTAACTCTGATATTTTGTGCCTGTACTGGTACCTCTTTTCCAACCAGTTGTATCAGAGCAGTCATGTTAGGCTGCTCATTTGTACTGGTTAAAAATGGATGATTCGGATAGTGGTTGCATGACAAAATTGAATGCCACTAATTATTCAATTTGGAAGCCTAGAATGAAAGACTACTTGTATTGTAGAGATTTGTTCGAACCTGTTCTAGGGGATAAAAGCAAACCAAGTGATATGAGTGATGAAAAATGGACCGTTATGCACATGAAAACTGTTGGCAATATTAGAAAATGGATTGGTCAAAGTATTTTTCAACATTTTGCCAATGACACCAGAGCTGATGTATTATGGAAAAAGGTTGAGAGTATGTATGAAAGGAAAATCTGTTTGAACAAGGCTAGCTGTTTGAAGCAGATTGCTCGAATGAGATATAAAGATGTGACTGAACACTTGAGTAATTTTCAGGGATTGATAAACCAGGCAACTACATTAAATTTGAATCTGGATGATGAAGTGCAGGCTTTATTACTATTCAACTCACTACCGGATAGTTAGGAAACCATGGTAGTCTCCGTCAGCAATTCAGCTCCGAATGGTGTGTTGACCATGGCTATTGCAAAAGAGGCCGTGATGAATAAAGAGTTCAGGAGGAAGGAACAAGGAATTGTCTATGAGACCCAGGCCCTAATGACAGAAAAGAAAGAAAGAAGAGGGAGAAGCAAAAGTAGAGGACCCTACAACAGGAATGACAAATCCAGAGGCAGGTCTGAATCGCGAAAAAATATTGCATGCTATTATTGTAAAAAGAATGGACATTATATGAAGGAGTGCAGAATCCTAAAACGGGAACAAACTGAGAAAAATGGTAAGGCAAAGGAAAAAGGTGATGAAAAGACTATAGCAGTTGCGACAGCTCATGATGATATGTTTGTGTTCTGTGATGATGGTCAGATGAATATTATTTATTATGACAGTGATTGGGTAGTTGATTCGGGTGCATCCTACCATGTTATTCCTCACAGGCATTTCTTCTCAACCTACACCGAAAGAGATTTTGGATATGTTAGGATGGTAAATGAGGTCGCATGCAAAGTGATTGGCATGGGAGACATATATTTGGATACAGATACAGGGTGCCAGCTGATATTAAAAAATGCTCGACATATTCCTGATGTTCGCCTTAATCTTATCTCTGCAGGAAAACTTGACGATGAGGGTTACCATAGCTTGCAAGGTGGAGGCAAATGAAAACTCAGCAAAGGAAATCTCATTGTTGCTAGAGGAAAGAAGCAGAATACCCTCTACTTAATGCAAGCCAAGTTGGGGAAGGGAAAAGTCAATACAGTTCGTGATTCATCAATTGACCTGTGGCATAGGCGACTTGGGCACATGGGTGAAAAAGGGATTCAGACACTTGTTCGCAAACAGCTTCTAACTGAAGTTAGAGGTAATGCACTTAAATCTTGTGTTGACTGCATTTATGGGAAGCAACACAGAATTGCATTCAAAAATTTTCTTCCATCTAGAAAATTGAATCCATTAGAATTGGTGCAAACTGATGTTTGCTATATGAAAGATAAGTCTCTTGGTGGTGCTGTTTATTTTGTAACTTTTATTGAGGGAAGCAAGGGAGAAGAGGAAAGAAAAAAAAGAAAAAAATTAGATAGACAGAAAATTATAAGCGAGGGAGAAGAGGAAAGAAAGAAAAGAAAAAGAAAGAAAGAAAAGAAAAGAGAAAAAAAATGGTTTTGGGTTTTTTTTAAATTGAAATTCCAAAATTTGAATTTTTGAAAAGAAAAACAAGGCTGAAGGTTTAAAAGGAAATTAATTTTATTTCCATTTCTCTTAAAATTTTTTTTTTTTTGTAGAATTTAAATTTCAAAAATTTAATTGCTGAAATAATTTTATTTGTAAAAAAAAATTTCAAAAATTTCAAAAATAATAAAAAAAAGAATTTTTTTTTTAATTTAAAAATTTTCCTTTGTTTTTGGGTTGTTAAATATAGCGTGGGCACGCAAAAATTATAAAACGTCCACTGATCTCGAGAGGCACTAACACGGCGTGAGCACGCCAAGATTACACTTCCTACCAACGTCGTGAAATGTTGAGATTTTACCAACATGGCGTGGGCACGCCAAGATTGGTAAGCGTCCACTAACCTCGGGAGACATTAACACGGCATGGGAACGCCAAAATTGCACTTCCTGATCACAGTGAAGAAAAATATTAAGACCGACTACTACCCGACTAAGAAACGATAAAACAAAAGAAATAAACAACGAAAAATAATAAAATGGGTAAAATACATAAAACTCCCATGTGGTTAAGGAAATTGACATGAAACCTCCTCATTGTTTAGAAACACCCACTTAACCCCCTTGTGCTTTGGATTTCTTTGGATTTTACCTGCTGACCGGCTGGGAAGCCGGTAATAATACGAAATACCAAAAATACCCTTATATATAATATGTGAAAAGTTACAGATGTAATTAGTCAATGTGGAGTGGAC